CTTAAGTATTTCGGCTTTTGTAGTTCTTACACAGTTAACTGTTCATCTTGAAAAAGAGAAGGAAAAAGTGAAAACTATAGAGCGGAGAAGTCATGACTTTTTTAAAATTTCTCAAAACTCTTTCCAGGCTCGAATTCACCTGCCCCGCAGGAACAAAACGTTATATCTACGAAGCTGTTGGCCAAGGATATGTTCCTGCTTCTGACACGAATCCTATCACTTGCAATGACAATGGACCTGGCTCTTCTTGGAATACCCAATTGGACCCACCATTTGAAGACGCTTATGTACAATACGTTTCTTGCTTTTCTGAAACATAAGCATGATTACAGCGTTTCACCTGTGTGCCTCCGAGCGCAATGCAATAAATGTTACCCAAAATTATGTCTTACGATAGGAAAAATGCAATTTAACCAAGAATTTTCTTAGTTTGTTTCGCTGATGTAGTACGCCGCCCAACGCCTTCTAATCCTTCCTCCTCCTCTCATCCTTAGAAGAGAAAAGTAAATTCTGGCAACTAAGTTATGACAGAGCTACATCTCTTTTTGACCGATTCTTATAAATGTAATACTAGAAAGAGCTTTAAAAAATATCTCAAGGTGTTTGCTCGTTTTTGCTTGATGATTGCTATTGCTGTCGCCTTAAGTGAGCTTCCTGAAAACAAAAACTCTAATCAAAATTTCTTTTCTCAGGATTTTTCTTTTTGAAGCACATAATTCAAATCAAGAAGTCAACTTACATGCTTTTCTTATAGCGTGTTTATTTAACAACATGACTTATGCGCTCCATGAACAACTCAAGCATGGTTGAACTGACTGTAAATTCTACATGCTTCCATTGATCAACATAGGAGATGTACACGCATTTATAAGAATAAGAAGGTAAAATCACATTAACCACGTGACTGCATTATGACTCGAAAATATTTGATTTCGCCTTTTGTTAGACAAGAAGCTAAACTTTTTCCTGGTCAAAGACAGAGCCATACTAGGGGTGCTGACTGCAGAAGCAGCTCTCTTGAACCTAAATCTTCGCTATTAATCCAGGTTAAACATTAGCGATGTGGAGTTAGTGGCCGAACGTGAGACAACTTGCCCTATGAGTAGGGAGAAATCTCACCTATAGATGCATCCAAATCAGTTTCACGAGAATCAAATTTATCTAATTGTCCTCGAGAAGGCAGGTGAAAGTTGGAGTGGCAGACTCCTAGCACGATGTCTGTTACATCTTCTTCTTACTCAGATTACTAACAGCCCTGCTAGAACAAAGGAACTTGTAAACTAAGAAAAAATGTTGTTCAAATGGGTGTATATGTTTGCTTCAAAATCAACTCACTTCAATAGTACGCTTTGTTCAACACCACATATCGCTCAACCAATAATTTGTGAAGACCTCATATGCATTAAGCCTTTTAAGGTAATCGCTTTATGGCTCTTCTAAAGAGATTGTTTATTAATTCCCTATAGATCATTTTTCCCCAGTCGGATTTGCATCACTTAGTAAAAGAGGGATTTTCGGAACTTTGTAACATAATGTTTAGTTTTGTATAAAATATCTTTAAGAACATGGCATCTTTTTCAGATGAATGAAGATTGCTGAAGATAGTCTTTTACAAAGTGTGGGATTGCATGAGGGCCCATCCTGTTGTGGAGCGAGTCAATAACTTCTTGAGGTCGTCACGTTCTTAGAATGTTTGGATTGAGCATCTAGTGAACGTCTATTTTAATGTTCAAATTTTGCTGTCATTTCTGTTTCTTTATGTTGGAACAGAACTTTCCTCAGGTGAAAAGCCTTTAGACGCCTTTAAAATTCCATTGAATGTGATCATAACCTCTCCCTTGAAACCTTCCGTTTGCATGGGGCTCTACTGCAATGGCCTCTCAATGAATTACAACAAAGGCGCAGCAAATTGGAAAAAAATTATGTTATAATGAAAATATAAGCGTTTTGATAGTTCGCCATGCAAGCTATGTGGAGTTTTCACGACATGTTTTCTTTATGATAAACTAGCATGCATACCCAGCTGTGCTCGGCTGTTTCAGAGTGGTCAATAGTTCTCTGTTTTAAATTGATTTTTTTAAAAGGAGCACATTTCAATTTCTCAGATTTCCAGCATAAAAATTCTCGCTTGCCAAATCT